AGCACAACATATTTATACACTTTTTCAGCAGAGTCATGGTTACATAAGATCAACAAAATTCATAAAGATTAAGTTGACCTTAATAATGATTGGCTTTCAGTTACCTCACCTTACCTATATTCCTATTCTACAGAAACCATTGGTCATCTTTACTGATTAATTGAATAGATTGAGGGGAGGGTAATGATAAGCATATTCATGTTATTTCCTGGAAGTCATTATCATATGCAAATGTCCCTAACACATGCGTGGTTATGTTGGACGAGGGTCCTCTGGTGGTCATCGATAGTCTTCCTCACTATCTCCGCTGCCTGATCTCCATCCTTGCACATGCTCAATTAATCTTTGGCTAATGCTCATTTCCTCTTTGGCTGATCTTCCAAACCAAACCCAGTATCTTCTGGTACCTACTGTTTTTGAGATAAATAACAGAAGAATTTTGCTTTAGCTAAAAGTAATTCAACAATTACTTTTATTGAGGTAGGCTAAAGCTATTATTAGTACAACGATCCAAATTTAAAGAAAAGTAAAAGAATTTACTACTGGGAAAAGAAAAGGGGGGAATTGATCTGAGGAAACACTAACTCAACAGCATGCACCCCCCGCCCCCCTCCCCCGCCTTGGGATGCTCATCAGATGGTACATATCTAAGGGTGGTAACTACTTTCCAACAGAATGAGAAAGAATAGGATGGGCCATCTCTGGTATCTCTTGTCCTTGAGATAAGAAAGGAACTGAAACCACTAGCCCATAAAGACAAAGGGGCTGCAAATTAGCCCAGACTTGAAGGGCAAGGTGTACGTGACCACAGGACTGAGTTGGCGCAGAAGTAAGGGTCAGCTAGCGAACACAGTGAAGAAGACTATGAGCCTTCATCTGAAGACCCCTGCCCACAACCACCAGGGAGAACTGTGCAAGTGCGACGGGAGAAATTTGGGGTAGGAGAAAATTTGTTTTGAGGCTCTGGCTTTTGTTACTTCCCTGTCCTTTCTTGGGCAGTTCAGGAGCCGTTGCAGAGTTTTTCTTTACTTGACACTGCTCACCCTCACACCCCAATGCTCCCAGGAAGAGTCCTAAGCCATGTGTGAGGGTCAGGATCAGCCTTCCCAGGACCTTTGAGGTCAGGGTTTGGCCTTTCTGCTTCAGGAAACAAATCCAGGGGTTTCTCAGCATTACAGCCACCTGCACAGTGCCTTTGCCTACCTGCAATCAGAGCCTCCAACTATCTGCTCTAAGGAGTCCATGGGGAGGCTTTGTCGGTAATGGCCCTCAGTGGGGCCAATCAATGCTTCAAGGTACTTTGGGTTTTGGTTCTGACATTGACTTCTTGAGTACTTTGCTCAGTCTCCTCTCAGTATCTGAGGTTCATGGACTCAGGGCCAAATACACCCTGGGGCTCATTAAAATACAGAAAGCCCTAACGAGCTATTTATCCTCCTTTCATTTTCTTCAAGCCTTCAAGACTTGTACAGCTAATTGGAATAGTTTCATAGCACAGTTAAAGAGGAAGGTTTCAAATTGCACCTAATAAAAATAAATAATTTTAAAGGTTCTATTTGGTCAATTTCTGTTTAGAAAAGAGGTGATGGAAGCATTCTGCAATTGATATTGATGCAGCAGTTTTCCTCGGGAGGTCTGGACAGGTAGGAAAACCAGGCCCTTGAGGTCTGACACTATTTGGACGGACAACCTTGCTCCTCATTTCCCCTACTCACCATTTCTGTCATTGTCCAACTGGGGTTTACATCATTTTTCCTTCTATAAGATTTCTCCACTGAAGTTTGCATCTGAATTTTCCAACTCCATTGGACCACCTCTCATTTGTTTTCCTTAAAGAACTGGCTGCACACAGGCACAGAGGGAATTTTCCTCTTTGCAGGCAAAGAAAATTGAATCATCATCAAGTTTTGTAAACAATAAAACACACACCCCAGCCATACGCTGAGCACAAGATTTCTCTAATGGGGTTGCCTTTGGTCAAGGAATAATCATATGAGAAATGGTTTAGATAGATTGATAGAAAAAGGTAGGTATAAAGATAATGAAAGAGCTGGCTAAAAGAGACAATTGGACTACTGAAAGACTGGGAGGCCTCTAGTTCCTGAAACCCAGAGCAGCAGCATAGCTGAGAGGTGTCTGAATGCACAAAGAATAAAAGGGAAAGGAAAACTGGAGAATAACGGAAAGGGCCTTTGTCTGGGAAGCCATCATCTGAAAAGATGACTTTAGAAATGGTCATTGTATCAGGACGGGGGGAGAATGTATGAAAGAATTGAGAAATTATATGCACCGCATAACAGGCACCATAGTGGTAATGAAGTTAGAGGGGACAATCACTATTTCTTTGGAATGAACCGACTGAAAGGTCATGGAATTGGTAGTGGTCTGCTGTGAATGAGGACAAGCCAATGTCATACCCATCTTTGAAAGAGGCCAAAAGTGTAGCCCAGGGAACCCCAGGACGTACAAGCTCACTTTGGTGAGGAGTGTGCCATCGGTTAGTGTCCTCTTGGGTGACTCTTCTGGGCACCTAAAAGAGTGTGTCCTAACTCAGTCAGCATGGACTTACCAAGGGTACCTACTGGGACACATTTAGGGCAGCACAAGGAACTCTGTGCTGGATCCTGTTCAGTTTAACACCTGTATCTATGACCCAGAGGAGTCACCATGTTTAACAAGGACAAATACCAGTTTCTATACCTGGGATGAAATCATGCCGGACACAAGAATGGACGGGGGAGAGGAGTGGCTGGAGAGTACCCTGCAGAAAGGGATGTGGGGGTGCTGGTGGGCAGCAGCTCAATAGGAGTCAGCAGTGTGCCCTGGCAGCCAAGACGGCAGACTGCATCCTGGGCTGCATCAAACATGGCATAACCAGCCGGGCAGGAGAGGTGATTATCCAGCTGTACTCAGCATTGGTGCAGCCTCCCTGTGAGTACCATGTGCAGGTCTGGGCCCCACAATGTAAGAAGTGCGTGAAGGTACTTGATTGTGTCCAGAAGAGAGCAACAAAGCTGGTGAAAGGGCTTGAAGGCACGTCCTCTGAGGACTCCAGGCTTGACTATTTTAGAGAAAAGGAGGCTGAAGAGTGGCCTCATTGCTGTCTATGGCTTCCTGAGGAGGAGAGCGTTTGGCAATGGTATCCGGTGATAGGACATGCGGGAATGGTTCAAAGCTGCAACAGGAGAGATATCAACTTTACATTAGGAAGCATTTCTTTACCAAGAGGGTGGTACAACACTGAAACAGGCTTCCTAGAAAGGTGGTCGACATCCCAAGCTCATCAGCATTTAAGAGGCATTTGGACAATGCCCTTAATAACATGATTTATCTTTTTGCCACACTTGAAGTGGTCTAGTATTTGGACTAGAAGATCAATGTAGGTCCCTTCCAACTGAACTATTCCTATTCTATTCTATTCTATTCTATTCTATTCTATTCTATTCTATTCTATTCTATTCTATTCTATTCTATTCTATTCTATTCTATTCTATTCTATTCTATTCTATTCTATTCTATTCTATTCTATTCTATTCTATTCTATTCTATTCTATTCTATTCTTCATTGTATATGTAACTGTAGAGGGTGGATACCTCCAGCATCTGGGCTCAGACACTGTGTGTCGTCAATAGCTGCCCCTGGATACCAGCCTTTCCAGTTGCAGGCTTCTGGACATACAAGCCCTCAAAGCAGCACCCCCATTCCAGATGATGGTATAGACCACCACAGTCACACACACACACACAGACTTTTAAGTTCACTCACTCCAGCCGCTCAGTTGGTGGCACTAATGATGTGGGCTATATGACCTCCAGTTGCTGCACTCACACCCCCATGCTCACACATTCACTCAGAAGAGAGATTCCCTCACACAGGAAGGCATTAGAAAATAAGTTTAATGAGAAGATAGAATGGAATACACTGGTCAGGGTCCTCCAATAAAAAGTTCATAATAGGTCCTCTGCAGTCCAAAAATGCTCGTGCCCCGCATGCTATAATGTGTCCTCCACCCCTAGTCAATAATCCCCTTAGTCCAAATGGTGATCCAGAGAGCTGCTCTCAGTGGCTCATCTTGATGGGTTTCACACCTGGACAACAAGGCTGATGGCTCTCCCAGGGCAGCTGTCGTGGTTTGAGCCTGGTCTGCAACCAACCAACACAGCTGGTCAAACTCCCTTCCCCCTCCCCACCTGGGAATGGGGGAGGGAATTAGAGGGGTGAAGGGAGACTCACAGGCTGAGATAAGAACAGTTTAATAATGGCAATAAAATGAGAACAATGATGATGATAGAAAAAAAAGAAATATATAAACAGGCAATGCACAACATAATTGCTCACCACCTGCTAACCAATATCCAGCCTGTTGCCGGCTAGCGACCCCGAGATACAAAGATCCCACAATCAAAATCCCAGATCGATAGAGCTCCTTCCCAACTACCCCTCCTCTATATAGTGAGCATGACGTTCCATGATATGCAATATTTCATTCGCCAGTTAGGGTCTGGTGCTCTGTCCGTTCTCCCTCCCTGCTTCCTGTGCCCTTGCGCACGGGCAGAACTTGAGGAGTCAGAGAGTCCTTGAAGTCTCGGTAGCAGCTGAAAACACCAGGGTGCTATCAGCATTCTTCTCCTACCAAACCCAAAGCTAAATCCAAAACACAGCACTCATCTAGTCCTTGAAAAGGAATATTAACTCTATTTCAGCCCAAACCAGGACAGCAGCGCTGTAAGGAGCTGGGACAAGATGTTCATTGCTCAGGAGCTTGTAAATTGGTTTCCCACCTGCCACTGTGTCTCTATACTCTTCTTGGGTTGTGGAGATGGGTTCCTGATGAGCTGCTGGCTGTGCTGTGATGGGCCTGGGAGCAGCTGGGTCAGGATATTCACTGAGTTACTCCTCCTGCCATGGTTAGTGCTTCCTTGGTGTGTGCAGACGAGCTTCTTATCACTTAACCTCACACAATCCAAGAAGAACAGAAATCTCCTGAGGCATCTGTCTTTGGAGTTGGCATACATCTGCACTGGTATTACTTAACATATGATAGCAGATCATTGGAATTGCTGTCCAGAAATGCATCATGATTAGGGGAAAATCTGCAGTGTTGCCTGGCCAATGGCTTCACTCAGGGCCGCGATCACAGTCTTGTTTCTCAGACTGTAGATGAAGGGATTTAAGAATGGGTACAGGACAGTGTTCGGCAAAGCTACAATTCTGTTTGTCTCCAAGGAAGCATCTTCCGAATGATGCATATAGAGAGCAATGCAGCTCCCATATGCAATAGCCAAGGAGGTGAGATGGGAAGAACACGTAGTAAAAGCTTTTTTCCTCCCATTGTTGCTGGAAGGTGTAGAATACGGAGGAGATTGCCTGTGTAAAATGCCAGAGTTAAGCATAAGGAAGCCAGTATGACAAATGATGCTAAACCAGAGTCTATTTTCCAAAGCAGGCTGGTGTCAGAGCAGGACAGTCTGAATAAGGGAGAACTGTCACATAAGAAGTGGTGGATCTTGTTTGAGCCACAGTAAGTCAGCTGGTAGAGAAGGACCAGGTGGTAACTTGAGAGTGTGATGCCTATGACCCAAGCAGCAACAACCAGCTGGATGCGGAGCTGAGGCTTCATGATGGCAGCATAACGCAAAGGCTGGCAGATAGCAACATAGCAGTCAAAGGACATAACAACAAGTAGAACAAATTCTGTACAGCCCAGGGCAAAATAGAAATAGGATTGGGCAAAACAGCTGCTTAGAGAGATGGTTCTCCTACCAGAACCCAGGATCAGAAACAATTTGATGCTTGTGGAGGATGTAAACCAGATTTCCAGGAAGGACAGATTGCTGATGAAAAAGTATATGGGGGTTTGTAGGCGGTGATACACACACACGAGGAAAATGATGGTTGCGTTCCCCATCACTGTTGTCAGGTAGATGAGCAGAAGGACCAGAGAGAGAAATAGCTGTAGTCGTCGATCAAGCCCCGAGAAACCCTTTAGGGTGAACTCAGTAACCGCAGTTTCATTTTCTGGTCCCATGTGGAATTTCAGTTCATCCTGCTGAGACTGGAGCACAGCAACAAACATGTGTGGTAATGTCACAGTCTGGGTGAAAAGTTCTATCCTTCCTTTTCTGCTTCTTTCCTTTCTAGCAGTCTTCCCCTATAATACAGGCAGAGAGAGTCCTTCGAGCATTTCTCACACCCTGATTTGTATGTTTTACATTTCATTTAGTCCTCAGAGAATCTCTTGGCTTCTTTCTGCCTTTTTCAAACACTCACAAAGAATCCTTTCTCCAGAACAGAAGATTTTCAAGAAGCTGTTAGCTGTTTCACCCTATTCATGGGAAATACCAAATTCACTCAGACCTGTTGCACACCTCTCTCACACCTACGTGCCAGACTCATTTCTTCTATTGCACGAACGCTAGACCATCAAATCAAACCACATCAAATCCGTATGCTGAAAGCTATGCTTTCTACTTTTCAACGCTTGCCTTTTTGGACTAGGAATCCCTGAGAATCTCTTGATTCCAAAATAAGTAATATCAAGTATCTCTTTTGTAATTCCATGCTTTCTTCCACAGCTTCTTGCTCTCTGTTTCCTCAGAAAAGGGGGAGGGGGTGGAGTAGGGACCAAGTATCACTCATCTTCTTTAGTGCTCTCAACAATGACTGAAATTTATTATGGTTCCACACAGTCTGTCACACAGTCTTGTCTGACATCTGCCTGCATTGAAATGCCGTTGTTTCCAAGCAGTTGCTCATTGATGTTACTATCAGATGTCCTGACCTAAACACAGAGCAAGAGAAGAGTATCTGGAAGAGATTTGTAACCTTTCTTTTGCATGCCAGTTATAGGTTGGGAGGACCCAGCCTCTAGTGTTTTCTCTTGTCTCCACTGACTACAGAGGGAGCCTTGGGAAAAGAAGTTCTCACAGGCACCTGGAGGTAATTAGATGAAACTCACTATTCCAGTCTAAAATCTCTGGTTTATTAAGTTACTGTTTTTTTAAAATGAAAATGCTCATCTAGCAGAAGGAAGCACAAGAAAAATACACGCAATAAAGACTGACATTTTCCCTTCATCTTTACTTTTGGTTTTGGACATAGAAAGGAGCAGAGCAGGTGACCCTCTGCACGGTAGGATTTGCATAGGTTTTTATGCAAATATCTGTAAGTGTTTAAGCCTTCAAACCACACATTTTATGTTACCATTGTTTCACTTAATGCATATTCTCTGCTGGACTATTTAGAGATCACTTATGAGCATCTTTGTTTACAGATTAAGTTAATTAATGCAGTTAATACAGCAGGGCACAGAGGTGAAACTTTTTTTTATCTGCTCCAAACACATACAAGAGTCTGCTGGTGTCAAATGGTGTGACATGGTTGAAAACCAAGGCACGTTTGTTGACAGCTTAGCTAAGGTTCATGAACATTTCAGATGAACCTCCAGTAAATTTTCAGTGAACTTGGGCTGACAGAATATTTCCCTTTAAGCAACATGAAAAGAGCCACTTCCAATCCCTTCCAAACTACAACTGTGTGAATAAATGATTTTTCAAGTTCACCTGTAGTTACGAATATTGCAGGGTAACATAAAAACACCCGCATTAGAAATAGCACATTGTCAAATCCTCCCCTCTCCCACCCAAAGCACTGTTTCATTTCAATTGCATGTATTGAACATGAGCCTTTAACATGAGCAACAAAAGTTTGGAAAGAAAAGACCTGATCAACATGGAAACTCCAGTGCTCTCCCCGGGACGCATGACATCTTGGTCATGAACAACCCCATGGTTCAAATGCCCTCTTAAGGCTTTTGGAGCAAGGATTTAAACACTGGCCTTCTGCTTCCCAGACAAGTGCGCTAACTCCATGGCTACAGTTTACACTGGAGAAGGACTCTCAATTTGTCATATCAAAGTCACTCCAAGATTACGCTAGGATAAAAAGGTGTAGTAATGACTGCACTGCATGACAGTCAGCACACCCAATCAGGAGAGTGATACTTTGGTCACAGCCCTTGTTCCACTGACTAATCCTTCACAGATAGTTAGAGCAATTGGCAAAGAAACAGAATAATGATACTAGGGGAATTCACACTGAGTATTTATAGCTCAGTCTGATACATCTAACAAAATTGGAGAAAATAGTATTGATCACTGATTGATTCAGGGCTTTATTCCATATACCAGACAGAAAACCAATGCCAGACACCGTGAACTCGTTAATGGTGATTTTCTTAAGGCTCTTTGCCAGTTGCTGCAGTGTAGCTTATTTGCAGTGTGAGGGTAACACGTATCTGATATACACTTAGTTAATTAGTGTAAGTTGGAAATGCAGCTTTGCACTTCTTCCTCTCCTGCATATGTGAACATTGGTACCTGTTAAGACTGGAGAGTAACCTTGGGAGAACGTGGTGATGAAGTGCAGAAAAATGCTCTGCTCCAAGGAAAATGACTGTGCGAGCACCCTTCAATTCCAGCAATGCTACTTTACAGGCCAAGAACACTTCTTACAATTTAAATCCAAACAATCTCATTAGCTTTTCCTGAAAGTATCTGAAGTAAAATTTCTCTTGGCTTCACAATACAATTAAGGTGGGAGGAGATCTCCAGAATGGTCCAAGAAACATTCTCTTTAAAGAGGCACAGGCAAAGACCCATGGGAGTGATGCTGGCTCTAAAAGCTCCCTTAATATGCAAAAAAGGAGAACTATTTCCATAATGCTACAGGCCATACCAGTGTCTACAGTTAATAGAAGTTCACTTTGAAGAATATGGATTGTAGGCAGTCATCGAAGCCACAAATAGAAATACCTGATATCAGTCTGGGGTGCAAGACCCAATATTCTTTTGAACTAAGAAAGCTCTACATTGTTTTAGCTGAGTATAGAGAAAAAACAAGACAAATTAGGTGCTGATACTGAAAACTCAATACATGCCCTCATTTGTTTATTTATAAAACAAAATGATATCTAAAAGACAACTCCATTCTCGTTTTTTGAGGTTGTGGAAGACATTTTTTAGTGTTTTGTCCAACAGGAATAAAGCTTTACCTGCTTCTGTCCTTATCTGTTACGAAGGGCTTTCATCTGCAGTGAGGGCAACACAAGGAACGGCTCCCTTGCAGTCTATGGTATCTGCTATCACTGAAACCTCTCACAAGAGTCCTTTATAAAACTGGAAGGAAAGCCAAGGGAGTTCATAATATATATAGAGTAGCAAAGCCCTTACATAAATGAATGAATGAGTGAATGACTCGTTATGGTAAATACAAACTACTTGAATACTGAATGCTTGCCCTGAACGCAACTCCAATAGAAACTTTTGATTTTGCTGCTAACAGTACTTATCTCAAAAAATCAAAAGGCAGCCAGCATTGTTGGAAACTGGAACCTTACAGATGTCTAAATATACTGCCTTATGGTAACTGCAGAACCAAGATTATTATTTTTTTTCCTTTTTCTGACTGACTGCTTTTCAAGTTGTGAATGGGCGTATCTTAATTAATCCAATAATGATTTTTGAGATAGTGATTGATGTAGTTTAAACCTGGCCAGCAGCCAACCACCACACAGCTGCTCACTCACCCTCCCCTCCCTCAGGGGTGAGGGAGAGAAATGGCAGGGTAAAGATAAAGAGACTCGTAGGTTGAGATAAAAACAGTGTAAATTTTTTTTTTTTCTTCAGTAAAATACAAAGGGGTAAGGCACAATGTGATTGCTCACCACCTGCCCACTGATGCCCAGCCCATTCCTGGCCAGTGATCCCAGAGAAATGAAGATCCCAAAACTGCAATCCCAGAAGCGAGAGCCCTCCCTTCCTGACCACCCCTCCTCTATACACCGAGCACGACATTACATGATATGGAATATTTCACTGGCTAATTTGTGTCCAGTGGTGTTGGAGAATGGCTCAGAGACAAGGGTCATGAGCCCACCGAGCAGTCGTACTATCAAAGCCTGTTCTAGGGGCTGATGTTGGGCCTTTGTGATGCTGGGCCTCACTAGGGTTTGCCTGCAGCTGCTCGCAGCTGCTGATACATGAAGAATTTCAAGGACGCTTCAGCCTTATGTATCGTTGTGTATCGTAAACAAGATAAGAGGAATTGGAAATAGTGGAATGAGAAACTTAGTGTTATGAGAAGCTTGTGCTGCTAGCTAACCGCAAGTAGGTGGACCGTGCGAATACGACCTTTAGAGCTTAAGCCAATCAGCTAGTGACTAGTAGGTATAATAATTATTGTTGTCTGTATAAATATGTGTACCCTGGACCAATAAAGTGAACCATGTTTTATCACTCACATTGAGTTTGTCTCAGCATTGTTTCCTCCGCCGCTCCGCAAGCTAGTGAACACAGTGAAGAAGACCACGAGCTTTCATGTGAAGAACCCTAACCATGACCACCAGGGAGCACTGCGCAAGCGCGACAGGAGGAATTTGTGGTGGGGGGATATGTTAATGATTTCTCGGAACTAATTGTAATATTCCCTCCCTATCCTTAGAGTAGTGATGCATATGTATTAGGGTAGATGAATATGTAACCATTTATACAATAAAAGGGAGCCCCTTTGGCTCCAGGGTGCGCCTTTGCGCCCAGCGCTGTATTCTTTGCTCCACTGACTTTGTCCCCAATAAAACTTTTTTTATATATACGTGGGCTTGTTTCTCACATTTACCTATTTTAGGAGGGTGGGGTATTAATCCCATATGACTTTCTGCTTTTTTACATTGGTTTATACTTGGCTTTCACTAGTGTGACATTCATCTGTAGCCCTGTGGTCAGTCTGCTGTGAAAATAATACTAACGTTGTTTATATTCTGTATCCTGTAGGCAAAGATGAAGCAATTGTTTGAAGCAAGGTGAAAACTGTCCGATTCTCAACAGCAGGTATAACAGTGGGTTTTGGTGAGGCTCTGATCTAATTGGAAAACTACAAACTGGAGTCAAAATTAATAAATTCATAGGAAATCTTGAACTCGGTTGCTCAAAATATAATACTGAGGACAATACTGTGAGATCTTATTTGTACACCTTGAAAAAGATTGTCATTACTTTTGTTCCAGTAGTGACCATTTCTTTCACAGTGTTGATGAAATGTGAGTCAGTGGGATGGGATGGAAGTTCTGTATGCCTGGAAATGGATGCTGAGCGGCATCTAGGGATGAAGGTGGAATAATCTGCAACAATTTGGGTTTTTTTCTATTAATACTCATTTTTAAATGCCAACATAGTAATTTGCTGCTCATGGAAAGACTTTGGACAGGTAAAAGCAACAGAAATCTACATGTAATGTGCATGCAGTAATTTATTATTTTTGGTTGTCTTCAGGATACTTTTTTGCCAGCTTTCTCAGTGTATTGAAATATGAACCTGCAGATGGGGGTATTGAAAATTGGAGGGGTGCTATACTGAAATCTAATCTAAACCTCCCAATTTTCAAGTATTCTGTACCTTACTGTCCTTCCTCCTCAATGCCCTTCTTCCAGATTGTTTTGAATGTGTTCTTAGAACATGCACTATGTTCATGTTTTTTTTCTGTAGAAAAAGAATCTGAAATAGTTCTGCAGAAATATCTGTTCCTGTTTCTTACATAAGCCATC